TATTTTGAGAAAATGAAAATGTTTCCTATCATAGTGGATTTTTACTTATTCAGTTTTATTTTATGTGTGAGTTTCACCCATGGGTTCAATACCCACAGAGGCCAGAAGAGGGCATCAGATCCCCAGGAGCTCGAGTTGCAGATGGTTGTTAGCTGCCATGTGGGTGCTGGGACTCAAACCCCTCTGCAAGAGCAGTCAGTACTCTTCACTGCTGAGCCATCTCTCCAGCCCCCTTGTTTTTTGTTGTTGTGGTGGGGTTTGTTTTTGTTTTGTTTTGTTTTTTTTATATTTATTGGTGGGCTTGGGGATGGACATGTCATGGTTTATGTGTGTAGGTCTGAGGGCTTCGGAAATTGGTTCTCCTTTTTTATATGGTTCCTGGGGAATAAACTCAGGTTGCCAACTTGGTGGCAAGTGCCTTTACCCACTGAACCATCATGTTCTCTGTGTATGTGGAGTGCTACCAGGATATCTTTTAGCATAGTTAACACACATTCTGCATGGATAGCACATTTCAGAAAGGCCAGCCAAATAGGCCTCACTTGCCTCCTGCAAAGCACCAATAGCCATGCTCTGGGAGCACAGGTCTGTTTTGAAGTCCTGAGCAGTGTCTCCTGCCAGACACTGGAAGTAGCCATGAATAAGAAATTGGATAGATGTCTGGCAGTGTCTGATTAAACAGAGAGCTCTACTGTACCATTTTTCTAACACTTTCTGTACTCTGCTAATAGAGGTTGTGCTCTTGCAGACAGCTTTTGTAGCCAGTTATTTCCTGGGTGTGTGGATGTGAGGGCAGTCAGCTTCATAGGAGCCTTGGCATAGAGACCTTCTTATTTACCCACTTTCTCCTTTGGTTGGAGCTAGAGGCAGCACTGGTGTTAGAGGGCAGCTGCCCAGCTCTAAGAGGTTTGTTTTTTTTTTTTTTTTTTTTTTTTTTTTTTTGTCTCCCTACATCCCTAGCTGGCCTGGAACTCACTATGTAGATCAGACTGGCCTTGAACTCACAGAGATTCGCCTGCCCCTGCCCCCTGAGCTGAGTGCTAGGACTGAAGGCATGAGTTCAAGGCCAGCCTGGTCTACATAGTGAGCTCCAGTCTAGCTGAGGCTACAGGGAGAGTCTCAAAAAGACCAAAAAAGACCACCACCACGCCTAGCATCTCTTGTTTGGTTAGTTTTAGTTTTGGTTTTTTGAAGATTATTTTTATATGAGTGTGACTGCCTGTATGTATGTACACCAAGTACATGTCTGATGACTTCAGAGACCAGAAGAAGGGTCAGATCTCCTGGAACTAGAGATACAGACAGTAATGACCCTCTCTGTGGTACTGGGAAGTCAACCCGGCCTCTCTGCAAGAGCAGCCAGTGTTCTTAACTATTGAGCCATCTCTGTGGTCTCTCCTCATAGAGTGTCCGTTTTTATGTGTATGAGTATAATTGCCTGCATGTATGTAAGTGCACCCATGTCATGCAGTGCCCGAGGAGCTCAAAAGAGGGCTTCACATCCCCTGGAACTGGAGTTACAGACAGTTAGTGGGTGCTGGGAATCAAACTTGGGTCCTCTGCAAAAGCAGCCAGTGCTCTTAACCACTGAGGCATCTCTCAGCCCCCTCTCCTCATAGAGTTTTACGTTTGTTTGTCTGTTTGTTTTGGCTCTTTATGAGACAGGGTCACCCTGTAATGGGGCCGGCCTGGAACTCACTATGTAAACCAACAGAGATCCATGCCTGCCTCTGCCTCCCTAGTGCTGGGACTAAAGGTATATGCCACTATGCCCGGCTCTCCTCATAGTTTTAAGACCCTTTATAGCCTGAGTAAACTGTCCTTGAAGAGCCAGACTTCAGCTCATTAAGATAAAGTTGGCAAGTTGGCTCGTGGTAGAACGTACACATTTGCTACATAAAGACTATAAAATAATCATCGCCCTCTCCCATCTCAAGTGCCCCAGCTACTGGTACCTGCCTAAATTGCCAACTGCTTATCAATGGTAAACAGCCCCCAAATACCCAGAGCCTGGGAAAAGAGTCCTAGATGAGCCCTAGACATCTAAAATCATCTCTGGTTTGTCCCTTGAAGCTTATAAAATGAGGGTGTGGTTTTTAGCAACATAATCATTTTGAGTATTTTTTATGGCAGCCAGATCTTGAGTAGCATGTAATTATAATTCCCTTCATCTGTCAGATGTGGGTAAGAACTTACTTGCCTCAAGGTAGAATCTGGGGGCCCCTTCCAGCTCTGGGGGCCTTGAGTGCTTGTTAAGAAAAGCAGACATCTGTCGTGGGAAAAATTTGGATTGTGTATACTTAGGGATTTAGGGCTGTGAATTATAATTTGAGCTGAGTTACTTTGAAAACCAGCAACAGAGTCGGCCATGCTTTCCCTCTTTAGTCTCTTCTTTTCAGAACTCCTTGATCTGTTGTTTTGTGTCTTCACTGAGTTGTCCCTTGGTCATTTTTTTTTAATAGCTTTAATTTTTCTTTGTAAAATTTATTTATGTGTATGAATGTTTTGCTTGCATGTAGGTAAGTGCACCTATATGTACAGTGCCTGACGGAGGTCAGAGGGCATTGGATCTCCTAGAACTAGAGTTACAGAGAGTTGTTAACTGCTTTGTTGGTGCTGGGAACTGAACCTGAGTTCTCTACAAGTGCAGTCAGTGCTTGTAACCACTGAGCCATCTCTCCAGCTACACTGAGTTGTTTTTCTGTCTCTACAGAGATCATCCAAGAATTAATATAGGGCTGGTCTCATCTCTTAACTATTGATACTTCTCAACTTCTGGTGGATTATGTCCTAATAAACTTGTTATAAGTTGAAGATACCAGAAGCTGGAAGTGCACTGTTAGCATACACCATAGCTTGACAGTACAGTGAGCATCCATTTTTCCCCTTTGGGTCAGGTGGCTGAGTGGAGCACTCAGCTTGCTGCTGCTACTGCTGGTCAACATTGTGAGAGTATTCTCCTACATATCGCCAACCTGGGAAAAGAATAAGATTTAAAATAGGATTTCTAATGAATACCTGTCATTTTTACTCTATTGCAAAAGTGGAAAAATCTTGAGTCAGGTTGTCATAAGCCTGGGACTATTTGCATACCTTGTGCTCAGTGAGCCTTCCAGAGAGCTTTGTCTCCTCTTACTTATTTTCTCTTGGGTGAGGAGAGAAGGTAGTGCTATTCTTACTTGATAGACTTGAAAACTGCAGTCCAGAGAAATGATGTGACTTTTCCAGAGTCCTTTAGCAGGTTTTTAACAGACTGAGGAGATAGGTCTCATGTCTTCTCGCTCTTGCCAATTTGGCATCTGGGTGGAGAGGAAGCTCAGGCCCTTGGCGATCCCCAGAGATACCACTGAGTGTGCTTTTTTGTTCTCATTCCAGATGTTATGTACTGTCCACAGCAGACCATATGTTGGTCTTATCACTACGATCATCCAGGTAAGTATTGGTATTGGGATAAAAAGGGAGGCGGATCTACTCAGAAGACTTAGGGAAGGCTCCATGCATCTGTCATAGAATTTTGAGTTTCCTACCCTCTCTTCCCATCCATGTTTTATACACTAAACCTCATCCAAAAAAAGCTGGGGACATTTATGTTGCTGGAAGAACCCTGTCTACTCAGGCTCTTATCCTCTAGGTAATAGTTCACATACCTAAATATGGGTATCTAATCAAGTAGCAAGATGGTGGTGCTTGTGAGGGAAGTGGTCTGGTTCTCAGGGTTCCATGATGAATACAGCATGGAAAGGGCTGGCCTGCACCCTACTTACTCTGTGGTTAAAAATGGGTGTTGCTAGGATCAGGGTTAAATTTGGGCAGTCTCTAGCTTGTTTTTGTATAGCCAGCTCTCAGACACATGTGGCTCTGGCCTGGCAAGACCACACGATTGAGCAGGCTGGGCTCTGGAGGTTACCACTGCTTCCAGATGCAGAGGCAGAGTCATACATGCAGAATATGATTATTGTGGATGTACTGGGGGGAGAGCAGCAATGAGGTAAAGATATGTATATGTAGCCCTTTTATTCCTTTAGGACAAACCCAGAGACAAAAAGCAGAATAAGAGATCCAGAGGTTAACTGCATCCAGGACGTTAAGGAAGGGCAGCTCCTGAGGGGCTATGTGAAGTCTGTCCAGCAGAATGGTGTGCTCGTGGGGTAAGTGGTCTCACTAAGGCCCTGGTGCCTTAGGGCCTGGATCCAGAGACCTGAGTGTCTTTCTTGAGTTGCCTCAGACTCACTGCCTCCCCAGTCAACTTTGATGGGAATGTAGAGGGGAGCAGTGTGTTCTTACCAGTTTCTAAAATTCCAAGTTTTAAAATGCTTTTTTAAAAAGATTTAAATTATTTGTTGTTTGGTGTTTTGGAAAAAGAATATGGCATTTCAGTTTCAAGTGTTTCTCTGCAATTATGTTTCCTCTCTTCTCCTGAAGCAGCTTGTGATTTAGATATTATAATGTTGGGGTGGATAAAAGGTGATATGAGGATGTAGCTCAGTGAGCCCTGGCCTAGCTTGCCTAAGGCCCTGGGTTGGATTCCTAGTCCCACAAACAAACAACCCCTCACCCCCCATATCTTCATTATGCATAGGAATTTTTTTCCAGTTTCTAAAGCCAAATTTATCTTCCTGGATACCTTGAACTGATGTCTCATAAATCCTGTCACAACTTGAGGCCCTATAAAAGTAGAGACATTAGATATGATTTGGATCCTGCCATATTTATAACCACAAAACTCTTTGTCTGTCTCCTTTCAGCCTTGGGCCTTCAGTTGTGGGTTTGGCCCAGCACTCACATGTCTCCCAGTGCAGCCCACCCAAGAAAGAACTTTTTAACAAATATCTCCCTGAGGGTAAACTGATCACCACCAAGATCCTAAGGTAGGTGACTCTCTCCGCTGCCCTCTCTGTCCCTCTCTGTCTTTGATCAAGTTCCTTTCTCTAGGAGCCTTGGATAGGAAGAGATTTCTAGGTAAACTCTGAACATAAAGATGTGGGTAGTGATGCATACAGTGCTCAGAGGAGTAAAAGGCGTTTGGAACCTTTGACCTTAGCTCCAGCCTCAGCCTTTGAATAGACTGGCCCCTATTGTTGGTATTGTTTGGGGGATTTATCCCCCACCCCAAGCAGATCAAAAGTCTTCCATGAGAATTTTGAGGGGATCCCAAAGCAGGTGAATAGGGCCTAGACCTGAATGATGAGGAAAGAAGGTCTAGACTGCCTGCCGTGCCCGGGGTGCCTTTTTGCTGTCTTTAGTTCCCACCTTCACTTTCTCCCTGCATTAGTGTGAACCACCAAAAGAACCTGGTAGAGCTGTCATTCCTCCCCTGCGACACTGGGAAGCCGGATGTATTTTCTGCCTCCCCAGAACTGCCACTTTTGAAGCAAGAGGAGAGGAGACCAGAGGCCAAGGGGAAGGACCTAAAAGAGAAGAAAAAGAGTCAGAAAAGGAAAGAGAAAAACCAAAAGGGACAGGAGGAACTACAGCTCTCCAGTCAGGAGAAGAAAGAACCTCAGAAGCCACAAGGGAAGAGACAGGGCAAGCGGGAGCGCCAGGAGTCTGGAAGTGAACAGGTTTGTCCCCAGGGAGAGACTGTCCCCTAGAAGTGCAGCTGCCCACCCTTCTCTCAGTGAGAGCCACATGAAGTTAGGAGGAGCAGGAGACTCCTGGGCACCATCTTCTTCTGTCACCATTGCAGGAAAGAATGAACAAGAAGCCAAAGAAGGCTGGGGCACCAGAGGAGGACGACAGTGGTGTGGAAGTGTACTACCGGGAGGGAGAAGAGGAGATGGAGGAGCTGAAGGTGCTACCCAAGGTGAGAGCCACTACTGAATGGAGGGAAAGGCTAGGGGTGGGGGGGACCTCCTAGAGGTGGGGAGTTGAGGAGGAGGTGCAGCCTATCTGAGCCTACACTCACCCCTAACAAATGGAAGCAGTGGTACTGGAGTAGGGAGGACAGTGTGGAAGTCTCAGCCATGGGGCAGGGCTTCCTGGGCTTTGGATGCTCAAACCCTTGCCACCCTCAATACTTCTGTTTCAGATTTCCTGTTGACATATGTACATGTTTATGCATATTTAGTGTTTTGTAAATTCACTGCGTAAGTAATTGATTTATAAAGAGCATTTTCATGTCAATGGTGTAGTTTCCTCAGCAGGCCAAGGCCTAGTGGGAATGGTCTTCACTGTGGTAGTAGGCTGGGGAGCAGGGAACATCCTGGTTCATGTTTTCCTCCGGGTTCTGTGATCCTGCAGGGAGGGCAGATGAAGCCCACAGAGGTGCCCCGGCTACAGCTATCTTCAGGCTTCACTTGGGATGTGGGGCTTGACTCTTTGACTCCAGCCTTGCCCACTCGAGGAGAGAGTTCAGATAGCGAGGAGGATGAGAAGCCACGCCAAGCTACGGTGCTGTATTTGCCAAGGCCGTTTTCTTCTTTCAGAACTTCCCCAACTCCTGTCCCTGTTCTAGCTTAGGTGTCTCTTCCTGGGTAGGGTTCATGGACTGTCTTATAAACCCATGACTTCCACCTCATTTTTCCCCTGGGATTCAAGGAACAGATGACTCACTTATCTTCCTTCCATAACAGAAAAAGAAAAGCAAAAAGGAAAGAGAATTGGAGAAGCAAAAAGCAGAGAAAGAGCTATCCCGCATTGAGGAAGCACTCATGGACCCTGGGCGACAGCCAGAGTCAGCAGATGACTTTGACCGGCTGGTGCTGAGCTCCCCCAACAGCTCCATCCTGTGGCTGCAGTACATGGCTTTCCACCTGCAGGCCACTGAGATTGAGAAGGCCCGGGCTGTGGCTGAGAGGGCCCTGAAGACCATCTCGTTCAGGTCTGGGCTTGGGCTCTTCCACTATCAGGAGGGGTCTTTAGACCAGGTGTACTGCATTGCCCCATGCTTTGGCTTACATCATGGGTCGTTTCTTCCTGGGCAGGCTGGTGGCAGTTTGGGCAGCTGCACTAGTAGCCCATAGGCTCTTGGGCTCATTCTTGTAAGTGTAGCCATCGGTGAAACAGATCTGCTCATTTATATTTTATGGTCGTCTTCACTGAAATAGCTGTGGTGACACTTACTAGTCTCTATATCAGTAAGTTTCTCAGGACAAGTAGAACAAGGAGCACTCAGCGTGTGCTTGGGTAGAAACCCTGGAGATGGCCATTTCTGAGAACAGAGTTAGCTTTCTGAAGCCCAGTGTAGAGGGATGACAGCCCTTTGTTTCATTCCCATAGTTTGGGGAGAGAATCAGACCTAGTCTTCTAGCTTGAACATCAGGCTAGTCTATAATCTGGATGCGTGTTTCCCAGGAATGGAATGAGAAATCAGGGCAACCCCAGACCTGGCAGTGAGGGGAGCATTGGGTTCCCCAGACTGAACTGCAGTGGGGACAGGGCCCCATGATTCCTGCACTTAGGATTGAGTGAGACCTGAGGACATGGTTGTTGCCTGGGAGGAAGTAGTTCATGAACATCCTTGATGGGAGTGGGGTGAGCTGAGCTGAGCTGATGGAACTCATGTGCTGACTCTTGGACCTCCAGAGAGGAGCAGGAAAAGCTGAATGTTTGGGTGGCACTGCTGAACCTGGAAAACATGTATGGCTCCCAGGAGTCCCTCACTAAGGTTTTTGAGCAGGCTGTGCAGTACAACGAGCCTCTCAAGGTTTTCCTGCACCTGGCTGACATCTACACCAAGTCTGAGAAGTTCAAGGTAGGATGTTGGGCCTGGTGCTCAGTTGCCCAGAGCCTTCAGGCTCACTACCTGATTTCTGGGCCTTAACTTTCTCATCTTCCAAAGAGATAAGTCATTTCTCCTTTCCTCCATTTTGGGAAAGTGACGTGCAGGTGAGGGAAGTGACAGACAGTGGACCCTGGTATCATGAATGCCTCAGGCCACTGATGAGCATTATAGACATTCTAGCATTCTAGCCTTGTAGGTTCTTTCCCTTGCCATTTTCACATCTGTCTTCCACTCCTTACCGGGAAGGAGTACTAGGGAAACTCCACCACTTTGTGCCACTGTATTGTGCTTTCCAGTTTTGAAGACCTTCTCTCCTCAGGCCTGTAGAATTAAGAACTTGGCACCAGTGAGCTCAGTCTAGCTTCTCAGGAACACCATGGCCTGCCTTTATTGTCACTCAGGTGCCACACTCTCCTTAGCTTACCTTATCTTTCCCACAGGAAGCTGGTGAGCTGTATAACCGGATGCTGAAGCGTTTCCGGCAGGAGAAAGCTGTTTGGATCAAATATGGTGCCTTTGTTTTGGGGAGGAGCCAGGCTGGGGCCAGTCACCGAGTGCTGCAGCGAGCCCTGGAGTGCCTGCCTACTAAAGAGCGTGAGTGTTCTTCCCCAGTTCCTAAGCATGCTCACTACCTGGGAATAGGGATTGGTGTCCTCTTGTCCAGGATACAATAGCTTCTGAACCAAAAACCCTATGAAGGGCTCTGCTGATCACATGCTCATGAATATAGTGGTGTATGTTGCATGTCAAATGCTGATGGAGAAGCAAAAATAATTAGCATTTATTCTGTTGCTCTTAGGCCCTAAGGAAGCATGTCTCCAGGGCTCATGTACTAGATCTAAATCTACCCACAGTCCTTTTTGGGTTTGTCCCTCTTGTGCCCTAGATCTTGACCCAAAAGCAATTAGGCTAACCCTGCCCCTGTAGCATATTGTGCTGTGGTGAGGGGTCCTTGGGCTTAACTTTTCTCTGAGCTGTCCTCTCCCCACAGATGTGGATGTGATTGCCAAGTTCGCCCAGCTGGAGTTTAAGCTGGGGGATGCAGAACGGGCCAAAGCCATTTTTGAAAACATGCTGAGCACCTACCCCAAACGTACAGACGTCTGGTCGGTCTACATCGACATGACCATCAAGCATGGCAGCCAGAAAGAAGTCAGGTGAGAGGGGAAAACAGACCAGGGCTGACTCCTGGTAGAGTGTGGGATAGGTGGAGGCCTTGGCCATACTGGTCATTTTAGCTGCCCCATGGCAGCTCCCAGTTATCTTATTTGACCTAGAAAAACAGCTTTGACATGATTCCCCAGGTCCATTTGGTTCACCTTTCCAGCCCCTGGTCTATGTCTGAACCCTTTGGTAAGAGTTGGCCTGGGACCCAGGAGACTTGGGGTCCTTCCTGGTTTATGCTGTACTTGCCTTTCATTGGTAGAACCTTCATAGGTAGGACCTTATATTATTGTCCCCATAGTCCTCATAGGGCAGGGAGGTTTGGAAGTAGGTAGATAGAGTAGGGTCCAGAAAGAACAAGAGCCCCACTCACGCTCTTATGTGGGTTTGAATTTGGCTTCTGTCATTGTGTGTCCCCATCCCAGTAGCTTTATACTCTTTCATGTGTAATTTTAGGCAGGTTAAGCCTTTTGTCTCTGAGGGTCTTGCTCATTTGGAAAATGAAGGTGTTGTCTCTTCCCCAGGACCTCAGAGCCATTCATATTGATAAGCAAAAGAAAGGTGGAAATGGGGTGCTGGATGTTAGAGGGCCACAGTACCTGAGAGCAAGTTGGGGAGCTCGAGCCAGGAGTCATGTGGCAGGGACCTCAAGGCAATCTCACCCTTGTTCTTCCTGACAGGGGCATCTTTGAGCGGGTCATTCATCTGAGCCTGGCCCCTAAGAGAATGAAGTTCTTCTTCAAGCGCTATCTGGACTATGAGAAGCAACACGGCACTGAGCAGGACGTGCAGGCGGTCAAGGCAAAAGCCCTGGAGTATGTTGAGGCCAAGAGCTCAGTGCTGGAGGACTAGTGGCTACTGGCTCCACCAGATACTGCAGCAGACACCTGGACACTTACAAAGTTGTTGCCTGAGACTGTTTAAATGCTGCCTTTTCTACAGCATGCTTGGGGCAATCCTGTCAGGATGAAAAAGAACTGGAGATGTTTCCCTTCTTAAATTTATTTTTTTAATTCTTTGAGATAAGCTCTCACTATGTAGTCCTGGTTGGTGTGGAACTCCCAGAACTCCACCTGCCTCTGTCTCTTGAATGGTGGGATTAAAGGAGTGGTGGGGTTAAAGGGATGTGCCACCAAGCCAACTTCTTTGTTTTTGTTTTGTTTTTTACTTTAGGGTGCTAGAGACTGAACCAAGGGCTAAACAGATGTTCTTCCACTGAGTTCTATTCCCAGCCCTTGAGTTTTAAGGCCTCTTTACTTGTTTTATATTACAGATTACATCATCTTTTTCCTTTCCTGGGGCAGCTCAAGTGTTTTCAGGCAGCAGGTTCCTGGACTTCCAGAAAAAACAAATATTCCTTCTTCAGGGAGTTCCTAAGGACTAAGAGCCAAAGGGCAAACTCCAATGATTGGATTTCATGGTTGGGATCCCACTCTGTCCCTGGCAGGCTCTCAGTCCACCCAAGAGGTTGGTAGGGCCCCGAAACACCCTCCCCTGTGATTTGAGGGTGCAGGCATTGGTCTCAGCTCAGCTTGTACCTTCTGCCCTGTTGTGGAGACTGGGAGGACAGAGGCAAGAGTCCCAAAGGAAAAATTGGGAAACTGAGGCTACTGAGGAAAGCCAAAAGTATCAGCTTAAACTGCCATCAAAGGCTCAGCATAGCCCAGTGACCTCACCTTCCCAGACCTAATATCCTAGAGTTCTAAGAGGCTAGCACAGACCCACTAGTTGTTGAAGCATTTTTATTTGCTTGCTTGGGCCTTAAGGGAATTAAGTTTTCTCTGGTAGAGCCTTAAATGTCCTCAGAGTTTTCTGTGGGAAATGATTAGTCAGATTCTGGGATGCAGCACAGGGACCAGGGAGAGCATGAGGTTTTAGAGGTGAGGAAGGAGGGAGGAAGAGCAAAAGCCAGCTGCCACTTAAGAGTTTAGCACTGGATTGCAAGAGCTAGTTCTGTCTTCTACAGGGTAGGATCTTCTGATGTGAAGTTTCAACTAAGCTTCTCCCTGCAAATGTCCAGGCTCCCTCTGACCAGATCAAATCAGACAGTTGAGTCAGACTGTCAAGCAGTCTCCGCCTGGGGCAGGACATCTGGCTCTGCTTACACCGCTGCCACTTTTGTGGCCCATTTTTAGTCCTGTCTCCTCTCCTCTCATGTGGCAAGGACTGTATAACTTTACCCATTCAATTGTATAGACACCAGTCTAGTCCATTATAGTAAGAAAAGTTTTATCAAAAAGTTTAAATATATAAAATAGGCCAGAGGTATACAGTAGAGGCAGCTTCCCAGCAGTGCACTGAGGAGCTAGAAATTCCTATGCAATTAGACACAAATTAACTGCACCAAGTGTACTGTACAAAGAACCCATTAGTGAGTTGCACTGCCACTGAGCTCTGCTGGCTGAGGTTTCTTAGCTTGGAGGCCTACCAAAGATCACCCATACCATAGGTAATTAAGAACCAGCTTTAGGGGAAGTCTTTCCCCATAGCTGTGAACTGAGTGAGCTGGTGACCACAGGAGAGAAAATTTCTGTAGGACTGGGGATTCCCCTTCCCTTAGTGCTGAACATGTTGTCCACTAGATCCAACTACTGTTTATGTTCCTTCCCATGGTCTATGTCCATGAAGCCATAGTTAACAGAAAAATCTCCTTTTGATGCTGTTGTGAACAGGCCGTGGAGTTTGTTGGGGACTAAGTAGTGCCATTTGCAAAGAGCAAAGGAAGCAGGCCCTTAGGAGGTGAGCAGTGCCATCTCCACGCTGTCAGGAGCTGTGCCGTTACCTGTCAGACCCTGGGCCCATTTGTGCAAGCGGCTGTACAGTGGGAGGCCCTGGTTCTCGCGGTACAAATAGACCCCAGTGATAGCATTCCACTGTGGTCGAGGCTGTGTGCCTTCCACTGGGAACTTGGCAACCAGTTCCTCGTCATCCTTGTTGAGGGCCACAAAGCCGAAGAAGCGGCGCACGTTGTTGGCAGCCAACACCCTTGAATGCACCTCTGCTGTGCGCTGGAACAGTTGGTCCTCATTGGTGCGATACTGTGCCCAGTAGGCTTCCTGGCGGTAGCTGAGTGGCGAGCAGTAGTGCTTGAGGCACTTCGTCAGGAACACCAGGATGGCCACCACACCGATGAGCAGCCACCCAAAGAGCTGGCCAGAGAACAAGCAGGGTTTAGGGAGGGGCCCAAGAGCTGCTGGGCCCTGCCTACCCTGGGGAATAGCCAAAAAAGGAACTGATTCTGCTCTGCAGAGCAAGCCGACCTTCCTCTTTTCTTACTCCCTTTACACTTTTTGTGTCTCCTGTCTTCAACTCCAGAGGTACCCCATCATTTGACTCCATCCAAACCGAGCACAGTAGAAGTGGAGCTCAGTGATAGAACACATGTTTAGCATAAAAATCGAGCTCACACTGCCAGGCTCAGCCTAGATACCACCTTCAGGGAGGCTTCATAGGCCTTTAGCATGATCTTTCCTCCCTGAATACCTTATGGCCTGTTTCCCCACACATCACTGTATGCCTGCTTTCAGATCACCTCTCTGTCTCACTTTTTCTGTTCATTTTTTCATCACTGATGCTGATATTAGCTCTGTTTCTCCATGTATTTCTTCCCTGCCTCCTCCAGACAGGTTCTCATGTAGCCCAAGTTGGCCTTGAACTCTATATAGCTGAGGATGGTCTAGAACTTCTGATCCTCCTATCTTCTGGGATTACAGGCATACTTCACCACACCTGGTTTATGCGGTGCTAGGGATCAAACTCAAGACATTGTACCAACTGAACGACATCCTCAGCTTCCTCACCCCTTTTTTTCTGTTTATTTTTTAAATTTATTATTATCTTTTTTTTTTTTTTGGTCTTTTTGAGACAGGGTCTCCCTGTAGCCCCAGCTGTCCTGGAGCTCACTATGTAGACCAGGCTGGCCTTGAACTCACAGAGATCCGCCTGCCTCAGCCTCCCGAGTGCTGGGATTAAAGGCATGCGCCACCACGCCCAGCTTTTTTTTTTTCGTATTTTATTATTTTTATTTTATATGTATGTGTGTATTGCCTGTATGTAGGTAAGTGCACCCGTGTCGTACAATGCCCGCAGAGGACGGAAGAGGCTGTCGGATCCCCTGGAACTGGAGTTATGGACAGTTGTTAGCTACCATGTGGGTGCTGGGATTCAAACCCGGGTCTTCTGCAAGAACAACCAGTGTTCTTAACCTCTGAGCCATCTCTCCAGCTCCTTTTCTGTTGTTTTTTAAAAATATTTTTATTTTGTGTATGAGTGTATTGCCTGCATGTATGTAAATGCAATGTGTCATGCAGTGCCCATGGAGGTCAGAAGAGGGTGTCAAATTCCACAAGAACTGTGGTTACAGATGGTTGTTAGCCACTATGTGGGTGTTGGGAACTGAACTCAGGTCCTTTGCAAGAGCAGCCAGTGCTCTTAACTGGTGAGCCGTCACTCCAGCCCTTTCTAAAAAGACTTATTTTTTGCCAGGCATGGTAGTGCGCCTTTAATTGCAGCACTTGGGAGGCAGAGGCAGGTGGATCTCTGTGAGTGCAAGGCCAGTCTAGTCTACCTAGCGAGTTCCAGGACAGCTGGGGCTACAGAGAGACCCTGTCTCAAAAGACCAAAAAAAAAAAAAAAAATTATTTTTGATGATGTGTCTGTGGGTTATGTGCATGAGTGCTGGTACCCACAGAGTTCAGAAGTGGATCCCCTGGAGCTAGAGTTACAGGCAGTTGTGAGCCACCCAATGTGGTTGCTAGGGACTGAATTTGGGTCCTCTACAAGATCAGTATGTGGGTCTTAACCTCTGAGACATCTCTCCAGTGGTTTTAATTTTTATCTGTTTCATCTGTTTTCTGCTTGCATGTATATGTATGTAAGTGTACCCATGTCATGCAGTACCTGAAGGGGCCAGAAGAGGGTGTTGGATCCCTTGGAACTGGAGTTACAGAATGTTGTTAGCCACTGTGTGGGTGCTGGGAACTGAGCCCTGGTCCTTTGCAAAAGCAGCCAGTGCTCTTAACTGCTGAGCCATCTTTCCAGCCCATTTGTTTTCTGAGCTAAGGTCTCACATAGCCCAAGCTGGCTCTTAATTTACTATGTAGCCAAAAATGATCCTAAACTCTAGGCCCTCTATCTCCCAATACTGGGGTTACAGGCAAGCTCCACCACAGGTGGCCTTTAAGAGAATCTTGTGCTGCTTCCTGCTTCCCTCACCCTCTGCTGTGAGTTTGCACATCAGTTCTGATTGCTACTTTTGTCCATTCTCCACATAGGATGCAAGGAAGACTGCTGCTAAGGCCCAACAGCAGTAACCTCTTCCTGACCTAACACCCCACCTGCCCCAAAAGTCAGGGTGGCTCAGTGCTGGGGCAAGAATGTGTTCATCCCTGGAGTCAACCACATTCCACTATCAACTCATGGCCCACAGCAGATACTTCAGAGGTCACCTGTGGAGGCCAATGTAGGCTAGGGAAAAGAAAGCGTCTCTACATGAGATCATCAAGGATCAGTCTGAGTCAGACTGTTCCTTTGATGCTTAAAACTCTCTTGGGGCTGGAAGTGGCGCTTAATGGCAGCGCACATGGTTGGCATCCCTGAGGCCTTGGGTTCAAATCCCAGCACCCAAAAGCAAAACAGACTATTTGTGACAAATTGACCCTTGCCTCCCAGAACACTAAGCTACAGGTTAACCAGCCCCAGTGGCTGGTGTTGATAACCTAGGGCTTCTCTGGGAGGAGTGGCTTTTTTTCACATGGTACTACCCCACCAGCTGCCACCTGGAGAGGGAAGGAAGAAGGCTCCCCTTCATGCAGCTCCTTACCTGGGACTCATACTTGAGCCTGCGGCTGACCTCCTCTCGGAAACCTGACAGGTTGACAGGGCCCTCTCCGCAAGGGAACTTGGCTAGGATCTCGGTGGCATGGGCTGGGGGGAAGCTCTCATCTCCAGCTGTGAGTGAGGAGGGGTCCACAAACTCGCTGAGAGCACAGATGTAGGCCTCCCCTCTTAGCAGGGAGATGACAGACCAGGTGACAGGGGCCACAGCTGCACGGCCCAGGATGGAGCTTAGGAGAAGGAAGTTGGGGGCAGCTGAACAGTTCTTGGCCCTGCGATACTGGCACTCAGCAACGAGGTTCCAGGTGTGGTTGTTGAGGATGACGCCAATGAGGAAGAGTGCCAAGGCTGGCACTCCAATGGCTGTCAGCCCATACAGGTAGTTCCGGGCAGGTGAGCAGGGACAGTGGAAGGCCACCACAGAGAACAGCTCCTGACTGCCTACTGTGCCCAGTGCCACCAGCCCATTGAAAATCATCACATCCTTGCTCTTGAAGAAGAGAGACAGGAAGCGGAAGTTCTCTGCAATCAAGGCTGCCATGGTGACACGGGTGGGCTAGGGATGGAATACTTAAGAGGAGGCAGAAGAGGACAGGATTGATGGCTTCCAGTGGGACTAGGGAGGTGTGCAGGCAGGAGGATACTCAATGGCAAGGCAGAATTGTTCCATTTTATCACTTACAGTGGCTGGACTGGGGCTTCCTGTGAAACACAGATGACTGATAAATGTTTGCCTCTAAATGCAAGGGGTTAAGGGGATGCTGCTGTGGTGGGAAGGAAGGGTGCTCGGGGCTTGCATGGAAATGGTGGTGGCTGGTGTTGGCTAAGTTCCTGCCAGGTGCCAGATGCTCTCCATTGCTAGTTGCCCACTGGTTTTATATGCCCGTGAAGCTTCCTAAGGGTGGGCCCCTGGCTAGGGTGCATGTAAATGGCAGAGCTCAGATTGAAGGTCAGTTGTCTGCTTTGAATGTCAGGTCTGTCTGCTTTGAATACTTTTGTCATCACCCTTTTCTCTCCCAGTATTTTAGGAATGGCCCTGTGGTGTTAGGGTATATGGAATGTTTTCTCTCTCGGATTCCAGATGGTACTAATGTGCTGAGAGTCTGGGATGGGATGATTGGAGTCTCTTATGGGTATCAGAGCTGCAGTGGCTGTCCTGGTTAATAAAGGACAGACTGGAGCCTGGGGGTGGTGGGGAGCCAGGGGCTCTGGGTCAGTGTTGAGCCTGACACAGCAAGATGTCAATATCCCTAGGTACATAAGATCTTTTCATTTTGGAGACCTTAGGGTCTCAACACATCATGTCTTTTCTCCACACCTCTGTCCTCTGTGAAGAGGATAAGTCATACTGGTCCCTGCTTTCTGAGGAATGTTGGAGGGACAACAAATGATGCTGATAGTTGTTCAGCATCTGAAACTCTCACCCTGTCAGGTCTACTGGTTGAAAATAATTCTAGTGGCAAGGATCAGAAAACTAAGGCCTGAAGAAGATAACAGTGCCTTACTTACATGAGGCCAGACTACTCTGGAAGCTCCTGAGCCAGACTTTTGACCATAACCTGAGAACACCTGGGACAAAAGCCAGGTGTGGTGGTGCATACCTTTGATCCCAGCACTTGGGAGACAGAGGCAGGTGGATCTCTGTGAGTTCAAGGCCAGCCTGGTCTACAATGCCAGTTCCAGGCCAGTTGGGGCTACAGGGAGACCCTGCCTCAAAAAGACCAAAAAAAAGAAGTGGACAAAAGTAAGTTGGAGCGAAGTTCCCTGTTCAAATCCTACTGACCTTGCTACTGCAACCCCTTCTCTATCCAGCAACTGACAGTCGCTAGGCTCCAAGAAGACCAGGCCTGGGAACTGCCCAGCCTGCCAGCCCCAGGCATCCTGAGCTCACAGTACCGGCCCTGCCCCGTCCTGAATCAGGGCTCCAGCAGTGCTGGTATCCTGCCAGGAAGTGTCTGTGGCCCCAGGCTCCTTGGAAGTTCAGCCCCAACTCACTTCTCAGGCTCCACCCACACACCCAGAGAAACAGGGAGGGTGTGGCCCTAATGTCCTCCCATCTGAGAACAAAAATGAAAAACAAAACAGCTCATGCCAGAGGAAGCCAGGAAGTAGAGAGGGGGTGGGCAGTGAACAGAGGTGGGGAGGACTGTGCCAGCTGTGTTTCATCTCTACACCCATCTCCCTGTTGCTGCCTCTGCCAAGGCTGCCAGATGGGCCCTGGCAGGGCCATGTGGCCATGTGGGTGCCAGGGGGAGGAGGAAAAAAAGTCTGACTCTCCCCAGCACAGAGCCCTGGGCTCCAGGCTAATTCTACAGAGAAGGAACTTCACTGTTGCTAGGGATAAATAGCAACCCATCACCCCCTTTCGCCCCTCTTGGTTGCTAACCACTTAATTAGCTCCTTGTGGGGGCTCTGGGTTCCCAAACCCATCCAAAGTGGGGTGAAAGACAAGTGTAAGGAGCAGACAGGATGGACCTGACCATCTTCTGAGATTGTTGTGTCAGGGACAGGGGCAGTGGGACCTCCTCCAAGAATAGGAGATGGGCAGTTAAGAGAGTCGGGGTGGGAAAAGAACTTCCCTTTTCTGAGTGAGGGGTCTGTGCCAGGGGCTCCCGCTCCAGATAATCCCGCTGGGATACCTGGGACCAACCCTGCCAGCTCCTTTGACATCTGGCACTCCCGGGGAGGGCCCTTCCTTACCTTGGGCTGGGTGCAGGGACGGGTGGCCTTGGCCTCCTCGGCTGGGTGCTCCTCGGCTGGCGGCAGTGTGGGCACGGGAGTAGCTTAGCAGGCGCAGGCTCAGGTCCCAGGACAAGTGGCCTGCAGAGGCTGCCACGGTCCTCTACTTCTGCACGAGGTGGAATGTCTGAAAGCAACAAGGCCTGGGGCCAGCGTTACTTAACTCCTGGCGTCTACAGATGAACTGCAGGCATCTGCTGACGAATTTAACTCCAGAAAAGAGGGAAGGAAACAGTGGCATGGAACTTTCTCACCAGCGAATGGAAAAATAGCCTCCCAGCACCAGGCAGCGGAGGGCGGGCAGCCGAGGGCGGCGCGAGAGCAGAGGAAGTGGAGGCGCTGTTCGCAGCTGCTGCATCCCACCGCTGGGCGGGCTGGGGCTGGCCGTCCGCCCTCAGCCCTGCCGCGACTCTACCTCGACTCTACCTCGTGCGCCCCTCCGGAGGCCAGCTGGGAAGGTCTGGCAGGAGCCAGGCCAGGCGGAGCCCTCTAGCGAGATCCTGCCTGGGCCTGCCCTCCAGGCCAGTGTCAAGAACATCCCCCATGTTTGATACCCACCAGGAAGAAGGTGCTGGAGGAACCCCTGGCAGGGCCAGGGGAGGGGTACAAGTGCAAGATTGACGGTGATGTCCCAGAACGCAAAAGGCCAGGACCCCCAGTCCCCTCTGGCCCTTCTGCCACTGAGCAGAGCGCCTCTTAACTGAACAATTCATCCCCACGAGGCTCTTATATCATCCACGGTTCAGCTAACTCCCAGGCCCCCTTGACAATTGAATCCAGGAATCTAGGGACCCAGTGGGGCCCCTAAGGACAGAACCTGGCTAGTAGGTAGAAATTACAAGGAAGCAGGTCTCAAAGGTGTCCAGTCTGTGCCCAGAAGTGGCCATGAGCTCCTATCTATGGGACCATGCAAGCATGTCTGAAGAGTCGAGCAACTGGAAAGCCAGAGATGGGTCCAGTGGCACCTGGGATTGGGAGAGATGCCCCCAGGGCTCCTGTCAGCTCTTCAAGGCTGTGGTTCTCTTGGCAGTGGAACTACTACTGAGTCACAAGCTGACCACCCCCTATACCCTCCATCTTGAAATTGGTTTGTCTATGTGGCAGGAATGTGTGGAAGGGAATCAGTGTTTACACCTTTCAATGAGCGCTTCACAGATTAGGTGACCTGAAGCAGCTCTCACAGCTCTGGTGTTTGAACCGAACCCAGCTCTCACCAAAGCTTTGCTGTTTCCTTCACATTTGTCCCTCCAAGTACTTTCTAGCATTCTGTTCCTAGTGGAAGCCCTTCCCCCATCCCAGTACACACTTGGTCTCTACTCATCTGACCCCTTCATTCAGGGCTGTGTTCAAGTTCCACCTCCGCTTCCCTGTGGCCCTGGCACTGGAGCTCCACCTGAGAGTGGAGGGAGGGTGAATAATGGAGGATGAAAAAAATCAAGACAAAGGTCAAAGTGAACTCTGAGAAGGTCGGGCTTAAGATTGAAAGATGGGGGCAGAGAGAATAAGCCTGTCTGCATCTCTGTTTCCTGTTCCTGGTCAAGACAATAGTCTGAGTATTTCTGTTCCATGCGTCTCCTGTCACTTGGCTGGGGATGATGGGGATGGGGTAAAGAAGGAAGCCTTCAGGCTCAGAAATGAACAAGCACATTAGCACCCTGTTCCAAGTACCTGCCATGTACCCTGTGCTTTTATGCTTTGTGAACATATGAGGTAGGTGCCCTTCTCCCCACTGTACAAATGATGAAACTGAGACACAGAAAATGAGGCACCTGGCCCAGGAACATGCTTTACAAATAGAACCAGCATTTAGCCCAGCTCTGTCCCAGTCCATCTCAACTATTTCCCCTCTAAGGCAGCCACATACCCCAATCCTCACGTCACTTTAGGGTAGCTTCCCAGGGAGAACTTTCTCCCCAGGGTTTAGGACTTTGAGAAAATAGAGGACTCGTCAGCTTCCATTTCTAACTTCTCTAGCTCTGTAGATGGTCTGCTTTCCTAAGATCTTGTGTGAAGGTATTGATTTTGGGATTGGTGTAAGGTAAACATGGAGTCTGCCTCAACAACTGTTTAATGAGCACACACCCTGGCTTCTCTTGTGTAGACCTAGGTCCTGGCATCTTGTCTTAGGTGTCACCCAGGTGTGTCACACCAGCTGAAGTCCACTCCATCTTACCCAGGCGATGCTGGCCAAGATCATGTGGGGCCAGTTGCCCTCCAGGTCCCTGAGCGTGAGCCTAGAACAAGAGGGAATGCTGGGAAATAGGCTTTCCAGGCCTCAATGGAGACGATAAACCAGGAATGGAAAGAGCAGGAGCAGGATGAGGCCTGGAGAGGCAGTCAGGTGCCAGTCATGCATCCTGTTCCCAGAAGCCAGTTCTGAACACTTATAATACTGAAAGAATGGGGACAGGACACAGAGGCCACACAGGGTAGCATCACAGCTGCAGACATAAGGTCCCCTTCAGCTCCAAATTTCCTTCCTCACACCAGCAAGTGAAGGTCCAGACTTGTGGCTCTGCCCTAGTATTGCTTTTCTGTCCAGTTTGAGGGGCAAAGGGCTGTGGGCACAGACCCCTATTCCTGTCTCTTCAGCCAGCCACAGCTCACACTCTGCTAAAGTAGGTGGCCACCTCTTTGCGTGGAGGCCGGGCCCCACCCCCTGCCCAGCCATTGCCCATCAATGGTGCCTCCTGGCCCAGCTGCAGTGGTGGTTTGCATTTGTGCCAGCTTGTGAGCAGCCTGTTCATGGTGCCTTGGTCAGTGATGCCTCGCAGCTTTTCCCTCTCTTCCTCAGCCCTGTCAGAGGGGCTCTGGGCAGCCGAGGTGGCAGTGGCAGTGGCTGTGGTCAGTGCTCCATGGGTGTGACCTAGCTCCAGGTCGTGGTTCATAGCCTCAAAGAACTGCTGGATACAGACCTTAGCAAAGGCCTTGGCATGCTCTGTGCACGTCTCATCAAAGAGCTTGCGCTCAATGTCAATATAGTGGGACCAGTATTTGCTCTTGAGGAATGCAGCCTGTGTGAAGCAGGGCCGCACAGAGCGGACCACGAATGCCATCAATGTGGTCAGCAGCACGAAGGACCAGCCCAGCGCCTGTAGGGAGAAGAGGGCATTAGCAGGCCCACCTGTCCAGAAGTCCCAAAGCATTGCTAGGGCCTCTATAGAGCAGACATGGGGCAAGTGACACCACTTCCTGGCCTCCATTTCCTCATCTGTAAAATGGGCATAGATATACCCCTACCTCACAGAACCAGATCCTGGGAGTGTAGAGCCTGCTACTTGGGCAACACACAGGAGTTAACTCCAGTGAGGCTCTCTGGGGTTGAATCTTGTCTCCATGACTTCTCTGTGTCTCAGTTTCCCTACCTATAAAATGGAGCTTGAGATAGCACCTACCTCTCAAGGGCTCTTATGAGAACTAAATGAGATAATAAATGCAACTCAGAGGCTGTATACAGCACTCTCTATTAATAATTATGATGGCAGTAAACCCTTAGGGACCATGCCTCTTCCTTCAAAAGCCTTCTATGATTTCCCCAAGCTTAGCAGCCCTTCTTCCTCCAAGTTCGGGGCCTTTCCTCTGGCTTCTCGAATTGACACCAGGCCCTGTGTCTATTGGGGGAAGAAACCCTGGGCAGGCCTCAAACTCTGCTGAAAGGCACCGGACACTTGACTTTGATGCATACTATGACAGTGGCTCACCCTGGAGCACAGGGCAGGACATCTCTCCCAGCCTGTGCTTTGGGTCAGGACTCCATCTGCACAGAGAAGAGATGGGAAAGTGGAGGCAGGAGTGAGGGTGGGGGTGCCCAATGGCTGCTATTGGGTGGGAAGCTAAGAGGATGTTATTCAGGCAGGGTGTCATCTCCCATGTTGCTCACTAAACCACTTGTGCACATAGGGTTTGGATGTCTCTTGTTCTAAGTGAAATCTATGATGATTTCTGGTTTTTAGATGAAGCCAATTAATTCTAAAGTGACTTCAGAATTCAGTCTCTACTGATCAAAAGAGACATACCTACAGGTCAGGTGGCCTGTGACCTCTCGGGGAACTTTCAGCTTATAGTGTGGCAGTCTATTTATTTTTTAAAGTATTTTATTTTATTATTTTTATTTTATGTGTATGAGTGTATTGCCTGCCTGTATGTAAGTGCAACTGTGTCGTGCAATGCCATGGAGATCAGAAGAAGTCTTTTTGGATTCCCCTGGAACTAGAGTTACAGACAGTTGTTGGCTGCCATGTGGCCCTTTAAGTCCCATTCCAACAATGCTTCTCCCTCACCCTCACTACTGCCTGGGCCTAGGAGAGGAGGCAGATGCAAATTCTCCCCAGCTTCCCAGCTTCTGAACTCAGGATGGAGGAGGTAGGGTCTGAGCTGTTACATCCTTTCTGGGGACCACAGGACAGAGAATGGACTGCTGAGAATCAAACCCGGGTCCACTGCAAGAGCCATCTCTCCAGCCCCTTAGTGTAGCGATTTAAAGGTCAGGTGGAGGGACAGCTGCTCCAGGCCCTAGGGCCTGGAGTGATGGGACAAAGGTCCACAGAAGGAGAGGCTTCAATCTGGGAGGGAAACAGAGCTTGGCTTGGACACTCATGACTCCTGAGGGCTACCAGGATGGTAATGGAGGTTTTATAGGAAAGAGAGCCCTAACTCAAGAGGGGAGCCAGGGATCTGCACTGACCAGAACAGAGAGTACAGGGCAGGCCCAGCCCTGCTCCTTATCCCACTGCACACAGTTCATAACCCAAGGGCTTGATGCCCAGGTGGCCCTGTATGTCCCATTCCAACAGTGCTTCTCCCTCACCCATGCACTCTCTTTCAAGATACTTAGACCCTCAGAGACTCACTCCTGGATCAGGGAGGCACCAGCTGGGGGGCATTTGCCAGGGAAATGTACCCAAATGGCTTAGCTATCCACTGGCCTCACCACTACCTGGGCCTGGGAGAGGAGATAGATGCAAATTCTCCCCAGCCTCCCAGCTGAGAGCTCAGAATGGAGGAGGTGGAGTCTGAGCTGTTACATCCTTTCTGGGGACCATAGGACTGAGAATGGCCTGCTGGACTGAAGGAATCACACATTCTCCAGGTGACTCTGACTGAAAGAAGAACACAAGCCTCCACCCATCACCATCTGAGGGAAAAATCCTATTTTGAGAAATGAAGGAACAGCAGAGAGGACCTTCTCCGAGGGGCCCTGGTCTGTGTGGAGACCCAGCCCCCTCACCTGGGAGATGCAGCGCAAGTACCTCACAGCCACCTCTCGGGCCAGCAGCCAGTCTCCATCATAGATCTCAGGGCAGGGCACACGGGCCAGCAGGCGAGCGAGTTCTGGAGCAGGCAGTCCAGGCACCAGGCTACCATTGCCCAGCGTGGCCACTGGCACAGCTGTACAGAAGGCACAGAGGAAGCACTTGCCATCCAGTAGTGTGACAGCCACCCAGACAACAGGTGCAATGAGAGCACGCTGGGCCATGGAACAGAACATATAGCGCAGCACGGCTGGGTCCTTGGCCCGACGGCCCGGGGGTCGCTTCCATTCTTCAGCCAGCATGGACACATTGTTGTTCATGACCAGGCCAAGCAGGAAGAGTACCAGGGGAGGTGCCAGCAGGATGCCCACACTGTAGGCTGCATTGTAGCCCGGCAGGCAGGGGCAGTTGAAATCAAAGGCAGAATACATCTGGGCACTGGCCAGCGCCATGATGCCACAGATGCCATTCATGAAGGACTCTTGGTTGGACTGCAGAAACTGGAAGATCATCCGGAACTTGTCCATTGTGTCCCGTGGGGTCCTGAAGCCTCCCAGACAGCTCCTGTAGCCCACTCTGCCCACTGGAAATCCACCTCATGACTCGGCTGTCCTGGCTGGACCAGCAGAGTCAGGGTAGTCACTGAAATCACTATCATTCTGAGGAGCCTTCTAGTCAGGTGCTAGTAGAAAGGGCACAGTTTGACCAATCCTGTGCAGCCAGGGCTGTGTACCTCCCTCCCTCTTCCCTCCCCACCTCCCCAGCTGCTTGTAGCCTAGGGCTACAAGGCTGCACCTGGTGGGGACCAGCTTTCTCTAGGTGTGGGAGGGATGAAGAGATGCCAGTAGGTTCGGGCATAGGTTGGATGATGGTGTCTCCTGCAGGGCTAGAGTTTGAGAGACCAATGAGGAAGTATATCATCTCGTGCCCTTCATAGGCGTCTCCCCTCTGCAGTGTCAGGACTCCAGGGAGCTTCTCCATCAATTGAGACAATGATAATAAGATGGCACGGGGATGGTGGTAGCAATGGAGCAGGTATTGGTGGTAGGGATATTGGTCATAGTAGGTATGACAGAAGTGGCGGTGGCAGGGGTGGTGGAGACAGTGTTAATGCAAACATAGCATACAGAAAAATACTCTGGTCTTAGAGATGTTTTTGTTTGTTTGTTTTATTGTTTTAGTTTTTTGGTTCTTTTAATTATTTTTATTTTATGTGCATGAGTATATTGCCTACATGTATGTGAGAGCACCCATGTCGTGCAATGCCGAGGAGGTCAGAAGAGGATGTTGGATTCCCCTGGAACTGGAGTTAAGGATGGTTCATAGCTGCCATGTGGGTGCTAGGAATCGAACCTGGGTCCTCTGCAAGAGCAATCAGCACTCTTAACCACTGAGCCATCTTTCCAGCCCCTAGTTTGTTTGTTTGTTTGTTTGAGACAGGGTCTCCCTGTAGCCTCAGCTAGCCTGGACTGTGTTATACTGACAAAGTTGGCCTCAATCTCATGTAGATCCACCTGCCTCTACCTCCCAAGTTCTGAGATTAAACCACCACAGCCAGCTTTCTTTCCATTTTTTGAGGCAGGGTTTCTAACTCACTATGTAGCCAAAAAAAACCTCAGAATTCCTAATCCTCCTATCTGCCTCCCAGATACTATGATTATAGGCTTGTGTAACCACAACTTTGGACTTGGAGTTGGAGGAGTTGGATTAAACATGTTGCCCAGGTAATCTAAGACTTCAGTCTGTTTCCTGCTTATGGCTCTGTGGGTGTGTCTACGTTTCTGAGCTGTGGGTGGCAAACCCTTTTTTCAGATTCCATTTTCTACCTCTACTTTTTCAGATGCACAGGGTAAAAGAGCTGGGGTGGTGAGGTTTCATGTCCAGAGCCTAGATCTCCAATATGTCTGCAGAACCCAGGCCAGAGCCCTTTCTATAGAGCCATTCAAGAAGAAGGTTTCCATTGAATTAATGCCTGCAGCTGTCCAGAAGGGCAAGTCAGTTCTGGCTCTAATCTCATGGCTCCTGCCTCGGGTAAGGGGTTGGGAAGAGGCTGAGGCAGAACCCTCACAGAGCATTTCTATGGGGCCAGGGATCTTTGTGGCTGTGACTATGTACAAGCTCACTGCGGTTTCTGTCTGTGTATGGAGTGTACATGTAACCACATTAGTGGTCTTCTGTGTCTTTATATTTTTGACAAGAACTGGCATTGACCCAGGCTTTACCTGTTCAGCACCTTACATGTAATGCATAATCTTCATATAGTCCTTTGGGATAGGTACTCTACCAGTGGCCCCATTTTTTTTTGTTATCTATTATTTTTATTTTATGTGTATGCATATAGGTAAGTGCACCCGTGTTGTGCAATGCCCATGGAGGACAGACGAAGCCGTCAGATCCCCTAGAACTGGAGTTTTGGACAGTTGTTAGCTGCCATGTGGGTGCTGGGAATCAAACCCGGGTCCTCTGCAAGAACAGTAAGTGTTCTTAACTGCTGAGCCATCTCTCCAGCCCGAGTATTTTATTTATTATTTTTATTTTATGTGTATGACTGTATCGCCTGCATGTATGTGAGTACACCCATATTGTGCAATGCCGCAGAGGTCAGAAGAGGGCGTTGGATTTTCCTGGAACTGGAGTCAAGGATGGTTCGTAGCTGTTGTGTGGGTGCTGGGAATTGAACCCGGGTCCTCTGCAATAGCAGTCAGTGCTCTTAATTGCTGAGCCATCTCTCCAGCCCCACCAGTGGCCCCATTTACAGAAGTGGAGGCTGAGTCTATTAGCTAAAGGCCACCCAGATTATAGGTGGAGAAGTGGGATTTGAACCCTGGCTAGCACTTGTAAGTGCGAGTACAGGGTGAGAGAGGGTGAAGGAGTGGGTTGTTTTTGTTTTGTTTTGTTTTTCTATCTTGACTTCTGGCTGGATCAAGTTTGGCTGTCAGGTAGATAGGCTAATATGTCACAAATAGGACATTCAGGGGTAGGGGCAAAGAACATTGCTCCCCTCAGTCATAAAGCTGACTGTTTCTGGGACAACTGCAGCCACTAGGCTTGTGGCCACTGAAGGACCCCTGTTAATGACCCGATTGAAAGATACTCATAGTCAGGGAGCAGCATGAAGGGGTTCCAGCAAAGGAGGTGACCACCCTCAGACACCCATTGCAGGCTCAATAGGCATAGCAGACAAGGGCTTAGCACCCAACCTCAGAGTGGGGATGGGGTGGGCCTAGATGGATCATGAAACCAGGAGGAGTGGTTCCAGCACGATGTGGAATCTCTGTCTTATGTTCCTGGCCTATGGCCAGGCATGGTGGTTGCACACCTATGTATTGGACATGGAAATTTGCAGCAGTGTGCCCTTTCAGTAGCATCCAAGTTGTCTGAACAATGCCTGTTTTAGCCACATATACTGCCTGAAAATTCTACCCAAAATGTTCTTTGAAAACCCTTGCTGTATCCATTTGATTGGATTCTAACCTCATTATCCTCAGTATATCATGGATTTTGGTTAGAATTGACCAAAGTGACTTTGTCCCTGGTCTTGCTTCTGGGAATGGTTGTAAAAATCAATTTTAAATTCATTTCCTCTTATGCAAATTTTTTTGGGGTGGTATTGATCCATTTGACGTGATCATCATTAAAGACCCTTGAATAGCAATTGCCTGTAATGATTTCATGCTTACCAAGGCAATCTCGAGTCCCTCATCTTGAGATGCTTGGGAGATTTCATTTGGATGTCTTAAACAAATTCAGTATTTAATATTTTTCCTAGTATTTTGTACCTAATTTTTTCTTATAATTATATATAATAAAAATATGTAATCCCTTTGTTTTGTTTTGACTGGGTTTCATATGGATATTTCCAAATCCCCCTGGTTTGCCCCAGTGTCATAAACCAATGCTATCATTGTCTCCAGGCACTGAGTTGTGAAGACTATTAGAAACTTCTGCCAATGGTCAGGCATGGTGGGTGCATACCTATAATTCCAGCGCTCGGGAAGCAGAGGCAGGAGGATTCCAAATTCAAAACCAGCGTGGGCTATATAGTATGACTTCCATCTCAAAATTAAAAAAAAAAGACAAGTTAAAGAACTGGGGTTATGGCTCAGTTAAGGTAGAGCACTTGTTTAGCAGGTGTAAAGCCCTGGGTTCAGTTCCAATTAAAAAAGAAATGCCTGGCAAGATGACTCTGCACGTAAAGACACTTGCTGCCAAGCTTCATAACTTGACTTCAATCCCCAAAGCCCACATGGTGGGAAGAGAGAACCAACTCTTGCAAGTTGTCTATGACCTCCATATATGCACTGAGGCATACATGCACCCACATGACAAATAAATGAATGTTAAAGAGAGAAGAAAACTTGTCTCTAAAGGATGGAGAAGTGAGGACACAGAGGGTGTGTGTGTGTGTGTGTGTGGCTTCATGAGCACCAAGGTCAGAGAACCGCAGTGTCAATGATATAGAAAGGACTAGAAGATGCCTGAGAAACTATTTGTGTCCCCTCCAAATTTATATGTTGAAATCCTAACTCCTAAAGTGATAGTATTAGGAGGTGGGGGTCTCTGAGACACAATTAAGCTATGAAGGTGGAGCCCTCATGAAGGGGATTAGTGCCCTTACAAAATGGCCCTTAGGGAGCTGGGCATGGTGGCATATTGCTATAATCCTAGCATGCCAGAGGCTGAGACAGGAGGATGTTGAATTTGAGGATAGCCTGGGCAACCTAGGGAGACTATGTCTTATAAACAAAAAGGAATCTCAGAGAACTTTCATCTTCTCTCCTGCACAAGATGATACATGGAGAAAGGAGACCTTCTGGAACTGGGAAGAAGAAGCTCCAACCAGAGCCCATCCCCCACCCCCAGCTGGCACCCAGCCTCCCGAACTGGGAGATATTCATGTGTGATGCTTAAGCCATGTAGTCCACGGTTTTGTTACGGTCATCCTAATTAGAACAGGGATTGTTCTTGGCTCCTGGCACTTGCCCTTCACTTATGCTGTCCCTCCCCTGGATGCGGGCTGCCCTACTTGCACATACAAATCTACTCACCCATTCACTCAGTGTTTCTCTCGCTAAATAATCACATTTCTCTTCTTTCTTTGTTTTTCTTTTTAAAGATTTATTTATGGGGCTGGAGAGATGGCTCAGCAGTTAAGAGCACTGACTGCTCTTGTGGGGGACCCTGGTTCAATTCCCGGCACCCACATGGCGGCTACGAACCATCCTTAACTCCAGTTCCAGGGGAATCTGAAGCCCTCTTCTGACCTCCTCGGCATTGCACAACACAGGTGCACTCACATACATGCAGGCAATACACTCATACACATTAAAAAAAATAATTTAAAAAAGATTTCTTTCTTTCTTTGTTTATATATTTCAGACAGGGTCTCACTATATAGCCCTGACTGACCTGGAACTCACTATGTAGACGAGGCTGGCCTCAAACTCACAGAGACCCACCTGCCTCTGCCTCCCGAGTGCTGGGATTAAAGGTATGCACTACACCCAGCTACAATTTATTTTATTTT